TTTTGTTGTTGGTCGGCCAGAAAGTGGCTGGGGGGGGGAGGGAGGGGGGCAAAGCGCATAAAAAGGATATTTGACACTTTTAAATGTGCGCTTATTGTGACTGCTGCCGCTCTTCCTTTCCCTATTTTTTATATATATTCCTCTTTTTATTCCTTTTGTCTGTTGAACTATTTGCTGGCTGCCTTCAATTTTTGTTATATTTCTTGCGCTTCTTTTTTATCGTTTGCTTTGTGTGTCTTGGGTCTTGACTGCCATCACAGCAGCAAGCAAAAGTCCCCGAGGTCGCCCCTTTCCTCGCTGGTAAAATCAAATCTATTGTCATTTTGCCAGCTTCGTGTAGTGTTCATCCACACACTGCAAAAAAGAACTGACAAATTTTAAATTATTCTATAATTTTTAGCACAGGAAAAGCTGATTGAACAATGTACAGGCCTAGAAAGCTAAGCCTTTTACTACTCTAAACAATGGTAAAATAATATTAATCAAAATCTTTGTTGATTGCAGGGAAATAAAATAATTTGTAAATTTTTAAATCAAAAATAAACAGTACAATACAAAATAAAGAACTTTGCGATCATTTACTTTTGATTCACAAATGGCAGTGTCTCCGTTATTTTTAAACGATGATAATTGATGAGAAATTATGGAAATATATTTTAATTTTTACCGTGTAGCTCCTGAGGTCCTTCCGCTGAAAGGGCCTGCTTTGCGCTTAGCACTTTGGCGGTGTCTCCATCCATCGCAACCTTCGCATCCTTGGGCTGTGTGGCGTGGTTTAAAAGCCCCGAGCATTTGCTTTTATTGAGTTTTTATTGTTTTTTATACGCCCTGCCTCGATATAGAATACTGCCAGCCTGCTGCGGACTCGAGATGCGGTACGTCATTGCTGATAGTTTCATTATCAAGAATCAATGATCTATAAGTATTTTCTTGCCACGTTTCTCGTTTCCGTTTCTTTTCTCGTTGGTTGCAAACTGTCAGCACGTACAGTGGAGAATACAATTTTTTGCCGCAAAACAGAGGATACTAGCTATAATGAAATTTAAAATACATTTTTCCAATTAGAAAACAGAATATTTTTCAATAATTTTATTTTAATGGAATCAGGTTTGAGAGTTTTTCACTATACAAATATTGAAACATACAATATGTTGTTTAATGGTCGTGAAAAGAATTTCTTTTGCTAAGCTTTTTTTCCTTTTTTCCTCTTAATCTCTCTTGAACAATAAAAATTGTTTTTTCTGTTTATATATTCTAAAAAAAGCTACATGCATTTCCTCTATTCAATTTATAATCTATGTTGGTATTAGGAGGAAAATCCATCTCTCCATCCATTTTCCGAACGGCAGACAGTCAGTACTATGCTCAAAACATCAAATGTATGTCAACAACACTGGCCAACACAATTCACATTGCTGTCAGCACGACTAGCTACCTTGTCTACTTTTACTCCCCTCCTCAAGACATTCGGCAAATCGTATTTCAAAAATTCATTCCATTTCCCCGTTACAGGATGAAGGAAGTTTGAAAAATAAAAGCAAAAATAGCTGGATGGAATAAAGAAATACACACAACGCAGTCGCAGCATGAAGCTCTAGAAAATTGAGAAATGAGAAGTATTTTCTGCAATCGTTCATTGAAATTATGACAAACGCATTTCTAAGCTGTCGCATTGATTGAATTTTCCGCCATCCACTGAATCCCCATTTTCCGCATTCTATTCATTCCACATCCATTGTGCGTTTGAAATTTTGCACCTTTTCATCAGCGCGCGACATTCATTCAGATTAAGAAGGGCTCAAAGCCGTACAATTCGATTTTGAGTTCGGTTTGGAAAAATTAAATCTCACCTACAGTTCACGATTGCATTTTCATTTGTGTCACCTTTGTGTCGACACCTTTTCCTTTTGTGCCTCAATCATTATGAGCGACAGCTACAAGCGCTTAGAAATCAATTAACCAAATCTTCTTAAGTGGAAATAAAAGGCACCTGGTTTTTGTTAGAGCTGGCAGATATTTCTCGGTAAATCAAAGGATAATCGGATGTATTGTTTTTAAAAATACTTGGAAACTGCAGTAGTATAATAAATATTTTCTTGCAATTTCCTTATGGTACATTACTTGTTATGTGTTGTGGCGCGTAAAGGTATTTAAATGCCTTGTTTTGATATTTATTTATGTATCTTTTTCTATCATCTAATTGACACTCTCCATCCATAACCCCCTTTAATTGACTTTGACATTTGAGGTTTTTTTCTTTGGTTGGCTTGGAGGGACCGAAATCAATTTTCATAAATATTGAGACAGGCGCATAATTGATGACGGAAACCTCAAAAAGTGCGAGAACTATTTTCGAGCTCTTTGCATAGTTTCGCAGTTGATTGATGGATGAAACCGAAAACGAAACCGAGACCGAGATCAAAATTGGGAAATGGCTTGGCCACAGATCGAGATGTGTGGCTGTCTAAGAAGCGCCAATGGACAGTGTTATTTATTATCTATTGCGGAAGCATTTCCCCCATAAATTTCGACATCCCCCCTCCGCCTGCCGGTCCGACAGATCTCCTTATCAGGGAATGATTACTAATTGACTGATTTTCCCGACCCCCTACCCTCACTCCTGCTAATATTGTTAGCCACTTTCCCGGCTTCTTTTGTTTTATTAATGCGCCTGGCTGGGGGCAGATGAAAATCTTCGGCCCACACTCAAATGGTTTGCCCGCGGAGGCGGGGGGTAATCAAGTCGATCAATCATTTGATTGACGCCACACAGCGCAGTGTGAAGGATATGGACGTATGTGGAGTGAGTGGAAAAGCGGGAAATGTGAGAAAGTCGAAAGAGGTGAAAAAAAAAGTGAGAAAAACAGCAGAGGCAGCGCCACCTGTTTCGATGTGGGTGTTTGTAAGGAAAACAGGCAAAAAGTTGTTTGGTCAGCAAGCTGACGCCCGTTACACTGTTGCGAAAAGAGAAGGCATCGCTCATCTGGTAAAAAGCAGTCACTTTGACTCATGCCCACTAACGGCTGTTTGGATTTAGCCATGTTTACACACCTCTTTGGTTCGCACTCGGCCAAAAGTAGTGCGCCCAACTGCAATCAACTCTGTTCGCCAATTTCTTTCCTTCGAACCTTTTGCAGCTGACAGCCTTTGATGAGCTGCTGTTTTACGCTTTCCCAACTAATCATCAAACAAAATGCATTGACATGTAAACAACGTTTGATTAATTCTCCCATTCGCGGTTTAGCCGTACTTTTTTCTGCTGGATTCCATTCAGGTTCAGGTTGAGTAAATTATTGGCCAGAGCAAAGGGCACGCCATTTTGTTGTTAGCCTGTCGACAATTTTTTTTCCTTGCCATTTACAGGGTGAGTTTTACTAATCGGGAGGATGAACGAAACAGATTTTGTGTGGACTAGAAATACAGCTTTACCTTATAGAAATTCTTACAAAATTGTTCTCTTACTTATAGGTACTTACCAAAATAAACGGACTTATGTTAATGTTTACATTTGATTGTTTTATATAAACAAGAAATACAAAACCATCTCATATTATAAAACATTGATGATATATAAAAATATACCTATTTATAATATTTATTGTATAATCTTTAAACTATCTAAAAAAAAATGTTTAAACTTTAAAAACTCAATAACAAAGAGGATTCTCACAGCAGTAAATAAATTTTTTCATTCCTTATTTCCCACTATTTCCCACTATTTCCCACTATTTCCCACTATTTCCCACTTACCCCTTTGACCCCGTCGCATTTTAATTATAAACTCAATTTTCCCCCTAAAGAAAAGCAGAGAAGATGTGAAAATCTGGCAGTCTTCTTTGGGTATCTTATGGTCGGTAGCGATAATTAAAGTGTTCCTTCTTTGTCGTTCTCTTTTTTTTTTTGTTTGGTGCCAGTAACGCCAACAAACAAGGCAGCAAACCAAACAAAGGTTTTTTTTGGACTTACTTTTATTATTGAAAATCGCTGGCCAAAAAAAGGAGGCAGAAAGACGGGTAAGAAAAACAAAAACAAATGGCGGAGCCAAAAAATTCGCTGCTAATTGCTTTTAAAATGCAAAAGCTCAAAGGCAGACAGAGGTAGTCGGTACAAAGGACCAACATTGACTTTGCCGTTGGACAGACAGGCGAATAATAAAAACCGCAGCTGGCCGAAGCGAACAGTGAGTGCAAAAAGTAAACGGTCCCCGTAATTGTTTATGGCAAAGGCCCGAAAAAACCGGCCCCGCTCGGATGGATGTGTACCAGCAGGATACACATAAATCAAGGATAATGGCCAGCGTCGTCGAGTCGTCGTCGTCATCCGTGCGGTTTGAAATCCGTAATTCGATGCCTCTTGCATTGGATTCGATTCCCGCTAGCCGAGTCGCTCGTTCATTTCTGCTTTATTAAAAATTGAAAACGCATTCAATTTATTCATTCGAGAGCAAGGTCGTCCCTGTTCCATCTCCTCCTCCTGGTTCATGGCCAGCATCCCATTCAAATCGATTCAATGCCTCCGCCCCAGGGGGTGTGGATATAGCGGATATATCAGAGGGGAAAAGAGAGGTGGACTTTTCCTAGGGACCCGGGATTAGGGCGTTGTCTGGCCTGACGTTTCGTGGCAGTTGTGTGAAATGCCGCCCCGCTCTGGGTTCCTTTTTTCCTTTCCTGCCTTGTCTTTAAATCAATGTTAAAGCAATTTGTCACGGCCGACGTTCCCGGTGACAATGAGACCAAGGAGCGTTGAGTGGTTGACAGGGCAAAGGGGTACCAGCACACTTGAAAAAATACTCAACAATTTAGATTCAGGCATTTAACCACAGGGTTCGCCCTCATTGAAAATCAAGATTTGATTGACATCAATAAAAATCGCTGACCCTATTTTATTTTCTCTTACTTATCACTTCATTATTGGTTTGTCAAATAAATAAAGTTTTTATTTTTACCAATCAAAGCATTAAATTGTTTCATGTGAATTTAAAAGTTATTCATTCTTTTGGAATAAAAACGTTTAATTGTTTTGATAAGATAGGTAGATTAAGTTTCGTAAGTATCGTAATCTGAGATTTAGAGTATTAAGTGTGTATTCCAGAATTCACTACCACTTTTTATAAGTTTTCTTTACAGTGCACCTCCGGCGGATGGCAGAGAAGTTCCAGTGGGCTGCCATTACCTGTCAAGTGAGCTGAAAACAAATCGCAATGGGAATGTCAATAGGCCAGGACCAGTAGAGCCGAGTCGAATCGCAATGCTCCCAATCGAGAATGCAAAGTGGCGGCAAAAAGGCCGACAACGTCGTCGGGTCAAGTCAATTGAGTTAGTGGTTGACGGATAAAATCAATTCGCATTGCTGAAACTCGAAAGTGAATGCGATGAAGTCGAATTTATGCATTTTGTGGCTCAGGTTTACTTACCGTTCATGCCTGTTCAATGTGTTCAACTAGCCCCTCATGTGTAATGCGCATAATTGAGTTCGTCTAGTAGAAACATAACAACTCCATTAGAGGGAAACGCAGGCAGCGCGAGGAAATAGTGTCCTGTACTCACAGATAATCCAATTAGAGCGGTCGGTAAACGAAAATTTCATTTGAATAAAACTGAACAGACACAAAAACCGTACCAGACAAAGCTAAACTCAACCACAGCTGGAAAATAAAGGCAAAGTTGAGGTGGCTATTGGAAGCTGTATGCTACAACTCGATTTGGTGAAAGTTGGAATACGAATATGACTATATTCTCTAATGTGGTTAGGATGTTAAGAAAAAAGCAAATTAATTTACTTGTTACAGGAATTTTATGAAATTTTGATAGATTTTCTTAAAGATATGTTGAGCTAATAGCCTTTGAAATCTTTTCTTTATTTTGTATTTTGCATTTTATATTATATTATTATTTATATTATTATATTTGAATATAACATAATATTTTAAAATTAAATAACACTTTAATAAAATAGAATAATTATTAACAAAAACGAGAAACTTAAATACGTACATTTTTCAGATTAAATTGTATCTATGTTAGGGTGTGCATAATGTACACAAAATAGATACAAAAGAGGAAATGTTAATAAATGATAAAAAGCTACAACCAAATGTTGTACATTTTACAAGTGCAGAATATGTTACATGTTTTCTTGACAATTGATAAACTACACAAAAAAGAGTGAGAGTAAGATTTAGGTTGGGATTAAGGCGCGTGCAAGGAAGTCGAGTCGATGGCAATAATTATGTGGGCGTGCCGGTGGCCAAATAGAGCTATGCCGCACGTGTCGCCGTGGCAGCCTCATCTATGGTATATCCTCCGCCACATCCACCATCCACCATACACCATCCACCTTTATTTCCATTCCAGGCGTGTGGGTGTACGACAATTGCTGATAATCGCGCCTGATCGGCGGCGGCCTTTTTGCAACGCCCCCGCGGCACCTGCCATTCCCATCAAGGCTGCACTTCACTTAATTAAATTGCAACGCAGCAACGGTCGCCTCGCCACGCGGATGTGCCGCATTCAGTGGTGCGCTGCTTGAAAGTCGCCGCACCATAATCGAATTATGCGGCAAGTCGGTACTGAAAAGAGAATTACGATGGCAAAAGGCGAACGACAAAAAATACAGAAAGTACAGAAAGTGAAGAAAAAAAACGCAGCAGAAAGGAAAAACATTATTAAAAGCTCATCAGCAATTGACATGCTGAGGAGTTGACGAGGCCAGCGGAAAGGTTAGACAGCAACGACCCGCAATTAAACGGAAGCAGCAACTTAAAAACGACTTCATTAACTAACCTTTTAGGAGAACAATGGTTGGAGCCCATCGGCTGTGGAGCCGTGGTCCCTCATCACCATCTCGTCATCAGGAGGAAGTAATGAAGCAATGCGAATATGGAAATCCAGCTTAACTTGGTTAACTCGGTTCCGGATCAATAATGAACCTCGATTGAAACGTAAATCCTTTTTTAATCAGGACTGTGGATGGAGAAAATCGAATTAGTTACGGAATTGCCCATTGTTTTTTTAATGATAAATTAATTAGAACATTTTTCTGAATCTGTTTTTTGAAATTTCTTTTGTATTCTCTATTAAAATGAGTAAAATTAATAATAATCATTGGGCGAACTATCATTTTTATGTCAATAAAAAGCAAAACTATCTATATTAAATAAAGGTGTCATATTTATTGATTATAAGTAAAAAAAAATTATCAAAATCGCCTTTAGAGAAAAAGACATTTTGTAATCTATTAAATAATGTTTCACCACATCATTTTTTATTTAGAACAGCATAAATTTTTAAATCTTTCATCAAACATTTAAATTGTCATCTTCTTAGCATCAATACAGAAACCTCATATAAAATTTAGTTGAATCGCTTTAATCTTATTTTTTATACATTTTCCTACTTCCACTTTCCATATCTCAGGAAAAACTTCTTTCATGCGAATTCAAATGCTGTCATTCTATTTATTGTCCAGCTATATCGCCCAGCAATTCATCCACTTGCACTCCTCCCGCACTTCCCAGCCAAATTGCACCCATATCGCTCACATCGAGACCTCTGAGAAGTGCTCAGCAAATGTTCAAATAACGTGTGCACATCGCCATGCCCATTATCGGCGACATCAGGACCAAGAGTGCGACACTCTGAGGTTCTCTAGACTCCGGACTCCGGACTCTAGACTCCTGCATCTTGTGATGCAATCCACGTGCAAGTTTTTCAAGCTTGTTGTTTGTTTTTTGTGTGCGCGCATCTCATATTGAATGCGACAGGAAAATTATGTCCACACATTAAATTGACGCTGGTCGTTTTTGGGGCGACAAAGTCCCCAAGAAGCAGGGCTGAAATTCAGAAAAAGTTGCGTATAACGACTATAAGATACCTAGATTTTACAAATATTTCTTATTACTAAAAATACCATGTGAATATATAAAATAAATTATGCTAATCTTTATAAGGGAACATAACAATTGATTTTATGCGCAACGTCTGTGACTAAAAGCAAAGAACTAAGCTTGATAATCTTATTTAAAGATGTATTGGGTTAACTAATTTGGTTTCTTAAAGAACAACAAGTCATTAAATACAAGTTATTAAATTACACATTCAGATTAGTCTGGGAATGAGTTGGAAGTTAAGATTAATGGACTTGAAAATAAAGTAGGCAATCACCAAAATGTTAGAAGAGATACCAACTTAAAAGAAATAATTGTCAGCAAGTATGTAGCTCAAAGAAAATATTTAAATAATCAATAAAATATGACATATTTTAAGACTTATAACCACTTGGCTGATAAGCCCACAATCCCGAAAAGTAATGGGTATTTGAAGCGGAATGGAGTGTGGAACTACGAGTACTAGTACAAACACTCAGTCACTCGATGTGGCAGGGATTGAACGAGAGGGGCCACATCTTGTCAACTTAATTTATGCTCGATTCCGAAAGCAGGCAAACAGCCATCCTGCACACCTCCTTTCCCCTGATGTGTGTACACTGCATTTGGCAAAGGCCATCGATCGATTCGAATCGGATCGGAACGCATTGGATCGGATCGGATCGTTCGGTTTTGGTCTGGTCTGGTCTGGTCTGGTGGGGCTGGGATGGCAGATCCAAGATCGGAGATCTCGGATCGCAACGTGGTCGTCATCTCATTGCTGTGGCAACTTGCGGCGACATTTTTCATGTCTTCATGTGATCGAAGGCATAAATTATCGCAGATCGCGCTGCGTTGTTTGTCTTCTTATGGCCTCCAGTCTGCGATTCTCGCTGCCACAAGAGGCATTCAATCTTTGTGTCAACAGAAATTATTTTTAACAGCAACTACAACCAGAAGACGCGGGCAAACTCGAACCAACGGCGAAACGAGTCTCCAGATTAATTGGACCTGATTACAAATGTTTTGTATGGCAAACTAGCTGCCACTGCCACTGCAAGTTGCCACTTGGAGGGGGAAATTTAAGAGTTGTAAAATAAGCATTTGGATCCATTAAGGCTAAATTGTGATAATGGTTAATGGTTAGCATCGCAAGATATTCCCAGTTTGTAGGGTGAATTTGCAATGCTAAAGTTCGACCGAAGAGGTCCATATATGTACATACGTAAGACCTTGGCAGCCTCGAATGTTGAGTGATGAGAACGTGATCGGAATGAGTTATGCGGGGATGGCACCTGCGGACCAAAAGAATGAGTTATTTCCCCCAGATCTTTCGATTATCAAGTGGAAATGTCGCTTTATGAATTGTTTGCAATCTTTCGGTTATCTTACTTTGATCGTGTGGCATTATTTGATTGAATTATTTGAGGAATTCGGGAAAGAGTTCGGTGATAAATGTATTAATTGTATTTTAATGAATTGCAGTGCTGAAAGGAATTTTCAAAAAATGTAATAAAACATTATTACTTAATTTTAGACAAGTAAGACCAGTTAAGCATATGATTATCTTAGTAAAGATGGCTTATAATTTTCAGTACAATTTTTTGATTAGAATGTTAAAGTTGTGTATTAAAGAAATCTCAGCACCAACATCTTATTTCCCTTTAGCCTTGATAACATTATTCCTTAAATAGATTTTCTTGACTCTCTGATTCCGGATAAAGCTTCGCTTAACCAAAACTGTTGCCAGGCTACAGAAAGCCCTCCCATCCAATTTTCATTCTTAATGTGGATATCTGCGGCTTCCGCTTGGAGATCAAAATTCCGACGTCTGCCACGAAAGTTTGCTGCAGGCCCTGAACTCGGGGAAGTCCCCAGCCCGGACCACTCGCAAGTTCGAGAGGGCGGTAAGAAATACCTTAATAGTTTATTAATGATTTTGCTGTTGCCGTCTAGGGCTTTTGTTGCTCTAGGTGGAAGTTTATTATAAGCGGCTCGAGTAAAGTGGAGTGCAACAAGGAGAGCGGGGGGAACGGGGATTATTATCTGCAAGTATCAAACCAGCCAACACTTTCTTTTCACGTTTTTTAAACCAATTATAAAAGTATTCAGTGCAAGAAGTTGCAAATGGGGGGCGGGGCAGGGCTGGGGCCAAAGTCTATGAAGCCATCATGTGGAAAAACACTTAATTACTTTAGAAGAGCTTGCCTGCTTGGCACAAAAGTGTAAAGTGCTTGGCCACGCCCCTTCCGATGCCCCTGCTAGTTCATAAACAGTTAACTAACTAAGGCAAAACTGGTAACTCCATTGGGGGGGGGATGGTTAGGTGTTGTTGGAAGCCATCAAAGGTTGCCCAAACCCATTAGATCCTCGGTTCCTGTTCCTTACAAACCTGACGTGTATTCGTATTTAAATTAGATTTGCCTGAAATCGTGCGTGATTGTCAGCGTTCCAAGGGGTTCGGTTCGTAGAAGTCGGAGTGGTAAAAAGTATGGGTAGTATACCTGAGCAAACACCATTACCTATTGGGCTTGTGCGTGTGCGTGTGTGTGTGTGCCACTTGAGAAACTTGCAAATTGGATTTCGGTTTTTCGCCCACCACGCCCCAAAAGTCGGCGGCAACTTTGAGTGTTAAAGTTCTTATTTTCCCGGCCCACGTGGGTGCCTCATAAGTGGCAAGGGCCTCGAGCAGTACTTTTTCACGTTCTGCCCGAACTCGAGTCTAGTCTCCCGCTCCTTGAATTTAAATTATTTCGAATTTCTTTTATTTGGATTTGCTCCCAGTTGGTTTCTGGGTCAATTAAAGTGAAGCATTTGCTCTTG